TAGGTAGGTAGGTAGGTAGGTCCGTCGGTGGGTGGGTGGGTAGGTAGGTAGGTATATGTGTATGCAATGGTGCATGTGTGTATTCAGATACGTGTGCATGTGCGATGCAAGTGCAAACAACATATATACATATACATATATATATATATCTATCTATCTATCTATCTATCTATCTATCTATATGTAGCGATACGGTTGTATTCAAAGCTAGCTAGATAGAGGATGGATGGGCGGATAGACAGATGGATTTAGATGGATGGATAGAGAGATAGATACACAGGCAGACACACAGACAGACAGGCAGACAGATAGATGGAAAGACAGATAGATAGATAGATAGATAGACAGAAAGCATCGATAAATATCCAAATTGGTAGGTAGCTCAACAGCTTTAGATCAGATAGGCAGGTAGAGATACAGATGTTGAGAGAGAGTGTAAGTAGGTTGTATGCAAACTATATACAAAATACATATACAAATACATATACATATACATACACATACACATACACAGACACATACACGTACACAGACACATGCACATACACATACACACACATACACACATATACATACGTTCGTACATACATACATACATACATACATACATACATACATATACCTCTGCTTGTTTATTTATGATTACATGCATACGCACACGTTCAGCGTGCAGGTGCATCATATAGAAAAATTAACTACACACGCATGCGCGCATTTGTATAATATGCAGGTACATATGCATGTACATATACATATGTTCGCACGAGTACGACTCCGCGTGGGTTTCGATGTGCGCAAAGTTGTCTGCACATGTATGCATGCCAATATGTGCTTGTGAAACTGCTTGCGTGCAAGTGGCCATAAGCCTGCGTGAAAACACAAATAAATGACTGCATACATCATGGAACGTGCGAGGGGGTGGTGAGTGTGGATAGGCTAAAACCCACAAAAAATCGCACTGCCAAGGATCGTTTTGGGATGCGTCTGGATCTGGACAGGTGAGTTGCTCGAAAGGCGTGGAGAGTTTTGGAAGGCTTTGGGATAAGGCTAGAAATATTGTCTGTAGAGGCCTTCTGGGAAAGTCTGGATGCTGCTTCCCCAACCACCACCCTGCCCACCCACCCCTGGTGAGTGCATGTACCTGCTTGCGAAGTATGGTGCACAGTTACATCTAACGTACATGTGCATGCACGTACTTACACCCTGTTTCTGGCTCCGGTACTTAAGCCTTCATAGATACATCCTAATCTGCTGCTGGTTGACTGCTCGATGTGTCCTTCCATGTGTCTGCATTCATGCGGACACAGAACTGCATCTGTTGTCAAGATGTTCGGGGCGAGCCGGAACGCCACCGCCTAGAACACAACGTAGAGGCATTGAACAGAACAGAAAGAACATCAAGGAATTATACAGTATAGCAACATCTCAACAAACGCAAGACTCAGCACGGCACAGAACACGTGCAGCACGCTCGAGGCCGAATCGTCCGAATCAGCCTACATCAGGCCATCAATGCCCGCAGTCTCAAGCCCCCATGCCCCAAGGTCTCGCCAAAGACCGCCAGCGAAGAGGTAAAGATGAACTTGGAGGGTGCTGCACCTGCGAAAGCTGGGCTTCGATGAAGTAAAAGAATCCCGAGCGAGAGGGCCACAACCATTCTTCATGCTGGCAAGTTTTCGACAAGGGTAGTCTGGTGTTGCGACTACTACCTCTACTACTACTACTACTACTACCACCACCACCACCACCACCACCACCACTACCATTACAGCTACGACTACTACTACTACTACTACCACTACTACTACCACCACCACCACTACCACTACAGCTACGACGACGACGACGACTACTACTACTACTAATACTACTACCACCACTACCACTACAACTACGACTACGGCTACCACCACTTCACTACACCTTCCCCTTTCTCAATTTCAAGCTATCTGCGAACTTGAGAAGCAAATGGCCTCCCTGCGTCCGTGCCCTGCATGCATCCAGGAGGTGCCTCGAGGGTAGCTTGAATTCAAGCTAAGAAAAGCCTAGGGCTTAGGGCCTAGGGTTTGGTGCTTTTAGGCTGAGGTAAGGGTTCAGGGTGCTTTGAGACGAGTGTTTTCTGCCGAAGCTCTGCGACCCGGCGACCCCGCGAAAGCTGGAAGGACTTTAGACTTGCGGAATCCCATCCAACAGCATCAGGCCCAATATCTGCGAAGAGATATGTACGTGCAAGAGATTGGTTTGAAGCTTTGGATTTAGGGTTAAGAGTGGTGCGGGAAGAAGCTGGAGTTCAACAGCGATTCCCTCACTCAAAGATGTCAACCTTTGAACCTGGGACCCCAAAAGCCCCCCACACGCCCCAAAATTCACTCCCTACACCTTGAAAGCCTGAGCCCCAAAAACCCCAGCAAGAGGTCCTGCAACGTATTCAAACTGTTGTCATAATCTTCCCGTTTTGGGGCTGGCTGGTTCTTGGACCACCGCATCCCACTCGCTTAGGTTGGGGCACACAAGGCACAGGTTGTTGTGTGATGCTGGTGCTGGTTATCCTTGCTTTGATGGGCAATGATGGGCATCTGCAGGTTAATGGGACCTTTCCTCCGGGGTGTCTCTGTGCGCCATTACCCCCCTGGCCCTAACCCTTTTGCCCTAGACCCTAAACCCCTTGTCCTTTGACCTAGCTCCAGCTTCTTTTTGTCGCAGGTTCCTGGTCCGCAGTTTGCACAGCATGGCCTGGCACCTGCTCCTCTCTTGCACAAGCGGTTGAGGTTGAGATTGGGCACTCTTCTGTGTGCTCCTCTCTCGAGGGTGCATTTTCGTAGCCCGCCCTCGCGACTTTTGCACAGGTTGTTGTGTGATGCTGCACTTGTTTCTTTTTCCCATCCTGGTCGGCATGGAAAACCCTAACCCCGAAACCCCAAACCTTAGTGAAAAGAACCCTGTCGGCCTGGTACCATCCAGGTTCACTCTGAGGCCAAGGTCGAAGTCCTTCTCTGCCGCGCCACTCATGACCTGAACATGTAGGGGTCTTGAGCTTTAGGGTTAAGGGTTTAGGGCTTCAGACTTAGGGCTTAGGGGTGAGCGTGTCGGGCTTTCGACTTTCAAGCTTCAGCTTTTCAGGCCCGTGGGCTCCCGTTGTCAAGGCGTGACTCCGGCCATCGCAGCCAAATGGCACCGGCAAGATGGAAGAGGGACAGCTCGTGGGCGGTCGGTACCTGTGCTGTGGAGCGCAAGGGCCGCGTGAGGTTCAAGGGTGGGGGGGTATGGCGCGAGGACATCTCTGGGTGTAAGCTTTGCTGGCTGTTTGGGATTATGCACGCTTTACGCTGCTGTTCCTAGGGCCCCCCCATGAAGGGCAAAATCCTCACAACCTCCACGCATAAGAATAAGAAAACAATGCTATCACAACGCAGAGGCTGCTCCTTCGGTAGGATGTTCTGTTCAGCTTCTACTCTCGGAACCCCTGGGCCTTGCCGACCAGCGCACAGCATTGAGTCGGGTAGGTGATGTCTGTGCTCTCCAGCTGAACCTGACGCGCGGCTCATCCTCTTGACAAGACGCCATGGTGCTGAGGGATCCCAACTCGACCTTGATCCCAAGAGAACTGCGAAGGGCCTTCTCGTCAGCATTGACACCGATACGGCTACTCGGAGCCATGGTGTCGACCAAGATAATCCTCTCAGGCTGGCAGGTGGAATCGAGATGTGCTTCATTCGGTTGCAAGTTGGCGGAATGCCCTGAATCTCTGCTGTCGGGTAGCTTCTTGACCTCCAGCTTCTTGCCATGAGAGTCCAGTAGGCCGTCTGCCTTTAACAGTGACCTGGCAGAAACGGAGCTTCAAGCGGGTACTAAACAGATTCGTCGGGGCGGAGGGCGCGCCATCCGCAAAGCCAGTTTGCTTCGGGATACTTGTGTACCGAACTTCGGTTCCTGACGGGGCTCCACAGATGGAAGTGGTTGTGCTTTACCATCTTCCATGACGATATTGCACTGATCTCTCGGGCCCCAAGATTTGACATCCGAGGACACAAACCCTGCACCTCTTCCAAAGGCTTCAAAGGCAAGTCATGCTCTCCGCGCTAACAACCAGAAGATCCGACATGACCAACGGGGATCGTAACTTACTGCTGCTACGCACTGTTATACTGAACTGCAACAACTGTAGGACCGATGGTGCTGCTGCATTCTCCAGGCCCGGACACACACACAGACACACACACACACACATATATATATATACACACACACACACATATACAAACATACCTACATACATACATACATACATACATTCATACATTCATTCATTCATACAGACAGACAGACAGACAGCCAAACAGCCAGACCGCCAGACGGACAGACAGACAGACAGACAGACAGACAGACAGACATATATATATATACATGTATATAAATATAAGTATAAATATAAATATAAATATAAATATATATATATATATATTCTACACCTACGCCTGACTCTTTTAATCAGGTGTGTTGCGTTCCGGCCCCCACCCCCTTGCGGTCTCGTTGCGGTGGGTGCTCAATCCTCGTGATAGGTATCGTTTAAGCACCCAGAAGAGTCATGTTGAGCGGGTGATGGGGGGTTGCTTGGAGCCGGAATCTTCGTGACGGTTGTTGTTTTGGGTCCGCAGCATTGCGAGCGGTCACAAGGACGGGTGGCTGGAGGCACGGAGCTTTTGGGCTCTGGGGGCGTTGGGAAATGGCAACAGGATAGGAAGAGGAGTGCATGATGAGCAGAATAGAAACAAATAAGCAAGTAGCTATAGTGTACATGCAGGGTCTAGGAAGTGGAGACTCGTCAACACAATGGCTTGTGACTGCCGATTGTTGGTTCCCCTAAACCCTGAGCTCTGAAGCCGAATCCCCGAGCCCTAAAGCGCAAACCCTGAGCCCCAAACCGCCAAAGAACCCATGGGAGACTTGAGCCACGCTCAAAAAACCCTGAATCCCTCAAGCTTCGTCTTTCTTCCAGCTGTCGGCTTGCCGGTTTAGGGCTCAGGGTTTAGGCCTGTAGCCTTGAACCTCTGAGCCTTACGCTCTGGACCCTAAACGCCCCCACCCTAACCCTGAGCCTTAAACCCCAAAGCCAAACCCTCTCACCCAAACAAACACAAGCATAGATATACGTGTATGTATATATACATATACATATACATATACAGATACACAAACATATGCATATATACATATATACATATATGTATGTGTATATATATATATATATATATAAGTCAACGTATTGGGTATCTATTTATTCAGTTGAGCCGGAGCCTGCAGAGTTCCTGGCCCAGGAAGCCCTGACCGCCTCCCGACGTTCGGCTTTCAGGGGCTTTTGGCAAGGAAGGGTTTGGGGGTTTAGGAGTTAAGGGGTGTTGGGTGTAGGGTTTATGGTTTAGGGACTTGGGAGTAGGAGCTTTCTTAGAATCCGGGCTCCCTGATGAAGGGTCCTTGGAATGAGGATCGCGCTGCTTGGGGGTCTATATTCGGGTCCCTTCTTGTCTGAAGCTACAGTTTGGGTTTCCAGGTCTCGGGTTTGAGGCGCAGGGTGTTGTACTAGAGGCTGAAGGCTTGGGCGCAGGACAGATGGTGCCAAGTGGAGAATGAAAACGCGGAGCATGGGTTGAATTGCGCGTAAAGGCGTCCGGCGACTTGAGTTACCGGGTCTCGGCACTCAAAGCTGTGTGAACTGCGACTTTATGGATGGCAGCCTCAGCTTTCTTGCCATCCTGCACCTTGCATCTGTCAACCTCAATCTCGTCCTACCGAGTCCTACCGGTCACTCAGACGGCAGGCCTGTGATGATGACTTCCATGCTACGGATGGTCCATGCATGCCACTGGGCGGCCTCCCTAAGCAAAGTCTCACAACTTCGAGGCTAAAAATGGGCTTCATGGTTTAAGGGGTTTAGGCGTTAGGGTCTTGCTTAAATGTTGCCATTTCGGGTTCAAGGCTGTCGTTTCAGGAAGTCCCATGTCCATGTTGTGAAGTTCCAGCTGCTTGAGCCTGGCATCTGCAGAGACATGTCTGGTACTTCCGATGATTATGACAATCATTCAACTACTGAGAAAGGTGCTTCCTCATTATTGTCTGTACCCTTGGCAAGACACTCCAAAACACGGCAACATCGTGATAATGTAGGGGGCTTAATAATTAGAATCGGGTCTTGGGGTCTATTATACTATAAACATAAGAAGGAACCCCCTAAATAGTATTGGTAATTATGTATGCCCCTATATTATCCTCAATCCTCAGCAGAGTGCAGCAATGCTGGAGGCCTTTTCGGAAGCAAAAGGGACAGCAATGCAGGTGGCTGCTAGCTCCTGCCGAGAAACCTGCTCCCAGTATCAGGGTGCAGCTCCGGATGTATAGTAACCCCTGTAGAACGCTGGTAGAACACTCCTGAAGCCCTGAAACATCTTTCTGAACCCTGGCACAATCCTTGTAGAACCCTTCTCAGAACCCATAGAAGCTAAAAAAAACTTATCAGAAACAACCTCTAGAAGGAAACTCAGCACGTCACCATCAGAGCCCCTGGACCATCTCCGTCACCTCGGCTCGGGGTCAGGATTTCGGGCACAAGGGTGCCAGGGTGGACGAGGAGTAGGTCTAAGGTTTAGGGCGAGCCTTTTCTGACGGTACCTTATGGTACCTTTTTTTGGTAATAGTTGCAGGCGCGGTATGCCGCCCCGTGCTCACTGTGCAAACACCAACGTCAGCCTGGCCACTGATGTCCAAGCGCTTCCCTTTAAAGGCCAACACCTGCTTGGGACTTGGCAGACTGCACACTACGCTGGGCCACGAGCGACCTCTGTTGCAAGAGATCTCACTGGCATCATGGGTTATCTTGAGTTGAGGTGCCTGTTCGAACCTTTTCTGGCACATGGCATGTGCTTTCAAGTTGTCCGGCCTTCTCGTTGGGCTCGCCCCAGGCGTGTTGGAACGGCTTCCTACCTCCAACTAAAGCACCCTACCACTGCATCACGTCGAGAGCACCCTGACGGCAGTAGGTCGCAGGCGGTTCGGCGTGACATATGGCTTGATGGCGGTCATGGGCTCTGCACACTCCCTCCTCAGCTTTCGGGCCAAGTTGAGCCGCACGGCTGAGTGTCTTCCACGGCTCCCTCAAGCTCTGTCACTTCCAACCCAGTCTCGAAACCCCCAACCGCTCTTAACTCGCTGCAGCCCCAGTCACGGTAGGAACATGTCGACCCCAGCAACCTCTGGCGGTGGTCGGAAGGCCACGTGACACTGCACCTCATCAAGGTCAGGATGCAACGACCCGGACTGAAGGCTTCGATTCTAAACCCTAAACCCGTACATTACAGCATGTTGTAGCATAATATAGACTAGGATGGCATATGATCATATCCAAGCCTATAGTTCCCACATTTCTGACCCAAACTCCTTGACTTCCAGGAGTTCGGCTCCATGCTTCAGTCCATTACTCCGAGTTGCTGTGCAGTCGGCATTCTTGTTGATGGCAGCGCACTTGCTTTTCTCGCAGCAAGGATGGGGCAACGGGTCTAGCCCGAGCTCTTCCTGAGGCTTCCAGATTTGCGAGGCGGAAATCCCTTCGGGAACACTATATAGTTTGTTGTAGCAGCTATGATCGTATAGTATCGTATACTACGTATAGTATAGGATGGTATGGTATGCTACTCGATGCTCCACTCTGGTATGCTATGCTCTGGCTTGTCTAGTATGCTCTGGCATGGTCTAGTATAGTATACGGTATAGTAAGGTGTAGCATAGCAAAGTACAGTATAATAGCGTAGTGTAGTGTAGTATAGTATAGTCTAGTATGGTTTAGTCTAGTATAGCATAGTATGGTATGGTATGGTATGTATGGTCTGGTCTGATGTGAATAGTAGAGAATTAGTATGGCACAATGTGGTATAGTATTTGTATTCGTGTGAATATAATATGAGTATTGGTGCTGGTACTGTTACTAGTACTAGTATTCGTGTCAGTATTCGAACCAGCATTGCACTAGCTTTAGCGTCAGTACGAGTATAAGTACGAATTAATGTGACAATCAGTATCAGCATTAGTACTCGTCTTGGTGTTGGCATTCGTACTAGTATTCGTATTGGTATCAGCAAGGCATTAGTAATTGTATTAGCATGAGCATAAGGATTAGCATTAATATGTACTAGTTACTAGTGTTAGCACTAGCCTAGCATTAGCGTTAGCATTCGTATGAGTATTAGTATGAGTATTAGTATGAGGAGAAGGAGGAGGAGGAGGA